CCGAAAGCCGATCCCATTCCTGGGCAGCAGCACAGTGCAGGTGCAGTTAGAAATAGCACAATGCACGGCCTGGTGGCATTTCCAAAAAAAAAAAAACAAACCTGGGAGCAGAGCATGGACTGAGGGGCCACAGACAGCAGGAGCAGCAGCACAGACCGAGGGGGCTCCAAATGCTACGATGGGCAAATACTTTTGGGAACAGGAAGATCAGTGGGATGTCACCAATGTGCAGCTCCAGCCATCAGCACCAGGCACACAAAAATGCAGCACTGTCTATTCTGGACTTGTTCTCCCACCTTGTATTAGCATGCAGAGACGCTGACTCCAAGCTGTTTGCAGCAGGACTGTGAAACAGTAATTAAGTTGCATGCCTGGTTTTAGGGGACTGAAGCATCCAGAAAGCTGGCCAAGAAAAATCTCAAGCATTCATCTTCTGAGCTGAAATATTTCACGTGACCAGGCAGGTGTGTCAAAAAATACAGCTATCACACCAATCATCCCCATCACTTTATATCAAGGTACAATCTTTTGGTGCCAGTGGCAGAGCAGAAGAGGGGAGCTAAAAGGAAAAGGGGAGTGATTTATTTAGCTTTCCAAGCTGCTCTGGAGCTGATCCTTGATGTCACACACCAGGGAAGCTACAAACAGCACCACAAGATGCTGAGTGCACATGTCTCTCCTGGCACTATTCTTACCAGTYTGAGCTCTACAGGCTGCTACTCTGCTTGTTGTTTTTCCAGAAACTCGTTTTACTTAATTAAAACCCTGTCATTACCTGACTAGTACTTTCTTTGCAAAGAAACCCCAAGGACAAAGCAGTAAGAAGTGATCCTACCAGCTTTTCTGAAACCAACTGGATCCTACCAGCTGAAACCAAGTTGGGAAAAAAAAAAAATCACCCAATTTTTTCAGTTTCATGGATCCACAAATGACCTGAAATGTTTTTACATTTTTTCCAGTAACTACCCTCTGCAGAACAGATCACGTAATAGCAGACAGAAAGTTTCACAATAGAAAGTGTCACCAGTCACAAACTTCTGCTGTGCCCAGGATTAGCACAAGCAGTGTTGGTGTTGAAATCACCTCCTGGACTCTTTCTGCTGTCAAAAAGCCCTGGTGCTGCTGCCAGCAAAGCCCCAGCACGATGGATTTTATAGAGCTCCCATGCAATATTACCAATTACCCAGAGAATCTCTGGATGCCCCTGGATCCCTGCAAGTGTCCAAGGCCAGGTTTGACAGGRTTTGGAGCAACCTGGGATRGTGGAMGGGTGGAATGRGATGGACTTCAAGGCCCCTTCCAGCCCAAACTCTTAATGTCGACAAAACTCAATCCCCCCTGCCTGGAGAGAATTAGTACAGACAATTATCTGAAATAATAAGCAGTTTTATTAGTGATGTACCAAAACTCCAGACATGCTAGTCTAATTGAGAATCTAGGTAAATGTGACGTGCAACATGGGAAGTTGTGTAGTTCTGCTTTTCTGGTTTTGCAGTTCTTTATCCAGCCTGGCTGACTGTGTTGGCAACTCAGCTCAAACATATGTAAGGCAAGAATTCACCCGTGGAAAGCCAGCTGAATGAGACCAACAAAACAGTGATACATGATAAATGTATACACTCATACACACATGCAGAGGTTTGGCTGAAGAGCACAGAGGGAAGGAAAGGTTTGGCCTAATCCAGGCCATCCCATTGTTTCCATATCATTCTCCACATGTTCTTCTTTCCTCTAGTTTACAGACCTGCTCTGTATCTGTAGATCCCATCGTGTCTCTGGATCAAGGGCTGCTTTTCCTTCTCCAGACCCTTCCCTGCAGCTTTCAGCCCATCCTGGCAGGTCCTGCTGGTACCAGAGCCAGCATTCTCCAAGGCTGACGTGTGGTGGGCAAACATCCTCCCCCTGTGACTTCCAGCCCTGGGCCTGAACTCCTCTTGGCCCCACGCTTCCCTGCTCCCCAGGAACTGATGGGCACGTTCTGTCTGATCTGGAGCATCAGGGGCTTCTTCAAATTGTCCTTCTGCTCCAGAACCAGCCATGCCAGCCCAGCCAGGGCCACAAGGCAAGGACATGTCAGGAATGGTGACACCGTTCACTGCTGCAGTCCCAAACTGCTTACACAGAGTGAACACAGCTCAGAGGATGAGCTCTGCTGCTCCTTTAACCATAGAAATGTCCAGACAGGAGCCCCAGATTGGCCAGGACTCTTCCACTGGCCAGGAAGAGTCTCACACACAAAGTGAACACAGCTCAGAGGATGAACTCTGCTGCTCCTTTAACCATAGAAATGTCCAGACAGGAGCCCCAGACTGGCCAGGACTCTTCCACTGGCAAGGACAGCACATTCTGGCAGCAGGTTTATTTATACTCCTGATCTAGCTAATAGGAATTTGGGTCCTATCCAAACACTCTTGATATAATGAAGTCTTTAGCCAGAGTTAAGCAGCAGTTCCATGAGATCAAGGAGGAACCTGAAATGCTGCAGTTGTGCAGACACCCGAGTACACAGCAGGAATATGCAGTGCTGTGGTTATTTACTCCAGCCAGGCTTGCTGAGATGGAGYCATAACCCAAGAAATGCAAGTCCTTCATCACACTCAAGGAAAGGGTGAAGAAGTCCCATGACAGAGGACATGAAAAAATCCCATTTTCACATCAGGACTACAGGAGCACTGACCATCCCAGTCCCACTGCATTATGATAGTTTAGATAAGGAACAGAGTTTACAGGAGCAGCTCTGGTTTACCCACACAGTCTCCTTCAGGCATGAAACAGCAGAGCATTCAGGGGACAATATAACAAACCACACTGCATGAAGCATGGCCCTTTACACAAGGCTCTTCCTTGTGTCTACTTCTGGTTTTCAACAAGAAGTTAATCCCTCCCCTTGTCCAACACCATCACAGATGAGGTCTTGTCTGGACAGTGATGACTGGAAGGTTGGGAAATGATGCCAGGCTTTATAAACGTCACTGGATTTTCCCATTGACCTCTACTTCCAGTCACGCCACTTCCTGTATTTTTAGGTATGAAATTTTCATCCCAAGCAGATTGTTTGATGAGAAAGGGAGACCCATCCCCATCCATTACAAAGAATCAGCTCTCATGTTTCAATTCACCTAATGTCCACACACAGAGGTGAAGCCCAAAGGAATTTAATTTCATCCAGGCCATTCCCTACTGACACTGAAAATTCAGTGATATAAAAAAAACCTCAAGTCCTGTGAGAAATATTGAAATTCTGTTCCCCAAAGACAGTTTTAGGTACAAGCATTTTGATGAACCACAAAGGGCCTTCATGGTAAATCCAAACCAGAGGGGTCAGAGGGAGGGGAGTAAAGCCCCTCGAGCTGTTACAGGTAACTGCTGGGTACCAGCACATGCTTATGATAAATTCCATCTTCATTCCAGTGGAAATTTTAGTTCTTTGAACCAAGGAAATGGAAAACCTAGGAGCTGTTAGTGTTCCAGGCACACAGGGTTAGCTCTGATCAAACAAAGCCCTTCAACACTCTCCACATCCCAACTGTGAATGGCACAGGGCTACAGATTTATCAGCAGTCTCACAGCATCCTGCTTGGTCTGCACTCCCCTCTGCAAACAGGGGCTCCAATTCCCATGGTCCTCAATAGAGTTTGAATTAAAGCTTCTCACCACCTCCAAAATTACCCCCACCAACTAACAGCTAAACATTTAAGTTTCACAATTGTAAACCTCMGATTTTATGGAAAAACAAATGCAAAAAAAATAGTGGAATATAGATTAAAAAYGCACTGGGAGGCTTTTCATGGGAAGCATTAACCTAGCAATCAACCACTCACCTGATACTGGAGGCAAAGTTATGTCTCAAACTGTGTTAAGAGATCTCTTATTTCTGGAGTCAGGTGCTCAACTGCCTTTGCAGCTTCTGTGATTGCTTTCCGGTACATCCCTTTCTTCTTGCGATTAAATCTCAGTTTGAAAAATTCCGAGAAAGGAGAGAGTTTTGAGACAGACAAGAAGGAAGTGGTTGGAGAACCAAACCATGACACTTTAGCTTCTCGCCACGAAGGCTCCCCGTTTTCCTTCTGGCTAAGGTTTATGTCAAGAACACGTGCTGGCCACCAGGGAAACCCATGAATTTTACCCCAGACAATATCCCCCACCGAAACAGTCCTCCCATCTTCTGTAACACATTTAGACACACTCTGGGTGTGCAGTCTGACTGTCAGTGGTGGCACAATTTTACGCTCATCTTTTGAAGATGAAGAGACGGAAGCATCATCACCAGGCAAAAAGTCACACAGTTCTGGTGATGTCACCTCTGAACTAGAAGATTTGGATTCATCTAGACTGTCATTGCTACACACKGATAAACTAGAAGAATCTGCTTTTCTTTTACGGTAATTCATGAGGAAAGCCAAGTTCTCATGTCCATCTTTACCCGGGGGAAACCTTTTAAAGTCATCATCTTCACCTGAACTTCCTGAAGACATTTCAGCCAAACTCCTGTCRGTGGACTCATCATTGTAGAATGCTCCAGGATTGGACTCCCTGCTGTTCTGAAGGACATTGATTTCATCAATCAGCTCTGCCTTATAAATGGAAACGCTCTGCCCATCGTTGATGCGATGGGGCTTCAGCCGTATCTTTGGGGGTGGCACATCCACACTGGAATGCACTGGCCGTGTGAGCTTCAGTTTTGGAATGGAAGCAAGCTGGCTGCCTGCTGACCTGTCCATTAAACATTTGGTTTGTCGACACTGTTCAGAGTCCCTGCTCTCCTCTTGGTCCCCAGCTCCGTTCTGCAATACTCGCTCCTGRCAGAACGCTTTGACTGAGCCATGAACCCGGGAAGGGATTTTTACCACTTCACCTTTCCCTTGTGGAGTACTATAGGATATTTTTATAACTGGTGTTCGATGCACCAGTTCCCCAGAAAACTTGTCATCCTCCCTCTTTTCTCTTTTGTTCCTTTTCTCCCCGTAGTCAGAGTCGCTGTGCTTTTTCTGCTCCTTGTCCTGAATGCCCAGCTTCCTCCTGCCTTTGGCGTTCTGCCGCGGGGCGCTGGCGTCCTCGGGGTTCAGAGTGTTCTTGCACTTCTCGCACAGCACCTGCCTGGGCCGCAGCCTGATGGTGCTCATGATGAGCCTGCCCGGGTCCCTGTTGCGGGACAAWCGCCTCCTGGTTCTCTTTATGCTCCGTGGGGGCGGCTGCGGGACCCACTGGTTGTAGGTGTGGCGCAGCCACAGGGGCCGGGGGAAGGGGGCTCCCTCGAAGTAGGGCGGGTAGGGAGGGAGGGTGCCCGGTGCTGGCAGCAGGGGTGGCACCTGCTCCTCAGCATTGTCCTTGGCAGGCAGCTCACCAGCGGGCTGTGGCTCTGGTTCACCCTCTGTGCCACCTCTGCCATCAGCAGCTCCGTTAGTGCAGGCATCAGCCGGGGGATCCTCGTGCTTGGGAACGGAGGATGGGACACAGAACAATCCAGACCTACGATGGGTGAGAGGGACAGGGAGGGAAACAAATAGTCAGGAGCTTTGAAAGGTGCTTCTCCAGGAACCCAAAACATTCTGCCTCCCACAACTTCAGTACCAGGRACACAACACTTCCTCTTTTAAGACCAGGCAGCCAATTCTGCCACTGAAAATAACAGCTGTGCAGAAATTTGGCATGGYGTCCTAGTCTGCTCCCAGAAAAGGCACAGGGATCAAAGCCTCTATTTCTGTGAACCCTTAGCACCAAGTTTTGCTCTAAGAAGTTGTAGCTTTTATCCCACAAAGTTTACTGCATCAGCAGGCTGACAAGGCCAGAGGAAGGATGTGATACAGATTAGCCTAGCGAGCTATGGAACTGTTTAGGACAGATAACTGATGTCCCAGCTTTTCATTTTACACCTGAACACCTGGACTTGGGTGGATTACTTGCACAGGTTCACCAAGACACAGCTCTGCTCCTCTCCCCAGTCTCTCCATTTACAGCTGTATTTGTTAACACAAGGAATCCACTCCTCCTGCAGAACAGCAAGGGTAAAACAATTATCATATTCTGTCCTTCAGTCTCATCCAGGCCACCAGTGCCTGGACACAGCATCTTGCCTGGATAYTGGCAAAAGCAAATCCTCTGAAATGCTGAGACTCACAATTGCAACTCACATCTCCAGAACTGCTGCCCTTGGCCTGGCATTAGAAACATTATGCTAACACAGCACTGAGACAGAATCTGCCCTGAAACACTGACTCTGACTGGGCAACGTTCACTGCCTTGGCTTGGCACAGACACTTCTGCAAAGAACACACTGTCAGAGAAGTTTGTAGGCTTTTTTAACAGTAACAGAATATTGTATAGGAGAGCCACAGAGACAAAGGAATGGAGAACAGGTCCAGACCAAATACCAGTGGGCTTTGGATGCCACATTCCCACTCCCCTCCTTGCCAGACATTGCTTTCTTTCCAGTTGCCAGGAAGGAAAGACCTTTCCTGAGGCAAGGAAGAGCTTCTTAGTGGTGTGACAGAGAGGGACACTTTGGTAAACATTAGCAGAAGGGCACTGAAGAGGAGCTGAAGGTGTCCACTCAGTCCCACACCTCTGACCAAGAGCAGAACAAAGCCACTGTTGTGGGCTTCCTGATGGAAAGGAGCCTTCAAAGCCCTTCCCACTACTGAAAAACTGCAAGAACCTGCTGTTAAAGGACAGCTTAACTGGGAAAGGATTAAGCTGTTGAAATCACATAATTTGGAAAATATTTTTGTTCACAGGCTTTTTTAAAACATAGACAAGCAAGAATGTAGGTGTCTTTAAATGACAACACAGAAAGCCAGTACAGTTTGTACTGCCAGASAGAGACGTTTCATAAAACAATCCTAAGTGAGACCATTTCTGAATGAAATGATGGCTATAAATYATGGTTATTTTACGCAGTGAGATTGCAGGACTTGGTAACAACAGAAAACTGCTCCTCAGGTGAACACAAGCCCACTCCCCCTGCTCCTGCAGGGCCCCTGTCCCTGTCCCACAGCTGACTCCAAGTGACCGGGTCACTGAACCTCTGGAGTGGCATGGAACCCCTCACTGGGCAGAACTGGAGCACCCAAAGGCTCACTCACGGGATGGTTTATGCCTGTGACACTAATGCCTGTGACAATAATGCCTGTGACAATAATGCCTGTGACACTAATGCCTGTGACACTAATGCCTGTGACACTAATGTACAGCACACTGTAACCCCACTGGGCTGGACACGGCCTCTGTGCCATGGAATGTCCCCACAGACCCCAGGCCACTGCCCTCCCCTGCTGTCACCCTGTGCCAGGCACCACTTCAGTACCTGGGGGCCCATTAGAAAAATGGGGACAAACCTCTCAGTAGGGTCTGTGGGATAGGACAAAGGGTGATGACTGCCCAGTGGCAGAGGGCAGGGATGGATGGGATTTTGGGCAGGAATTGTTCCCTGYAGGGTGGGCAGCCCTGGCACAGGGTGCCCAGAGAAGCTGTGGCTGCCCCTGGATCCCTTTGAGTGCCCAAGGCCAGGCTGGACATTGGGGCTGGGAGCAGCCTGGGACAGTGGGAGGTGTCCCTGCCATGGCAGGRGGTGAAACAGGATGAGCTTTAAGGTCCCTTGCAGTCCAAGCCATTCTGGGATTCAGTGATTAAAGCAGCAGGAAATACTGTTGATGAGATTTCAACCTGCCTGTAATCCCCCTTTCTGGGGCAGCTGYAGCCAACTGCACTTGGTCACCTCARTCCAGTCTCTGCTTGGTACAGGRGATGCCATCCTYCTTTATTTGTACCCCTGCATAATTAAAACCCAACTTTTAAAGTAAGTTCAGTTGCAGCAAAACTACCAAATTTTCTTATCAAAACCACTGTAAAATGCATTTAAATCTCTACTTGAGCATGTAGAGTATGGAGCTCCCTTTRAGCAGAGCCAATTTCTTGGAAGCAAATATCTGCCAGTCACTGGGCAGGCCCTGGTGCTGCTGCATCATCCAGSCTGGGGCACGAAAGGACACCCAGAGGAAGGACATCACCACTTTCCTCTGGAAATAATTCCCCAGCAGATGGAAGGTCAGGCATGACTGCTCTCTACATCCACCCCCTCCTGAAGGCATGAGGGGCAGGGCAGGAGCAGGAAGGGTGCAGGATGCAGGCAGGGTGCAGGCAGGGTGCAGGCAGGGTGCAGGCAGGGTGCAGGCAGGGTGCAGGCAGGGTGCAGGCAGGGGGCAGGCAGGGTGCAGGCAGGGTGCAGGCAGGCCACATCCCAGGCTGGCATTTTGGGGTTCAAACTTGCATCTGCCTTTTGTGTAAAATCACGGAGGTGTCCAGCCAGGACCTGGACGGACAGGGCTGCCCTGGGCACTCGGGGTGGCAGCTCTGCCTCCTGCTCAGCTCCMCACAGCACTTGCTACAGCTCAAGAGAAATAATCACAGAATTACACAATGYCTGTGTTGGGAAGGGACCTTAAAAATCATCCAGTTCCAACTCTCCTGCCATAGGCTGGGATGTCATTCATTAGACAAGTTGCTCCAAGCCCTGTCCAAGCTGACCTTGAACACTTTCAGGGATGGGACACCACAACTCAGTAAAACAGATTCGTCTACTGTGAGATGCTAAAACCACTGTAAACCACAAAAGAAAGCTGGAGAGCCACCATATAGGCCCTCCCTCCCTCCCTCCCTTTTGGGGTAATCTCCTCTTTCCATGCAGGTACAACAGCCTGCTCTGGTGTTTCTCCTGCCAGTCCCATGGCACTGCCCAGCGGGTACAGGCAGAGATGGGTGACCCCTGCACAGGGACTGGGKKGGACACAGCTCCATCAGCCAGGCARAGCAGGAGGGCAAACATCTCTGCCACGGATCCATTTCAGGCACTCCAAGTTCAGCACCAATTGGATAAATTGCTGCTGCATTTGGGACACATCCTGACCTTCACCTTCCAGTCACTGCCAGGACAACTCCTGTGTTCTGCTGTAGGATGAACACGATCTCTCCTCCCCTCCACACCTCAGACCTGAGATGACTGCAGTGCTCAGTCCAAATCCCCAGGGTCACCAGGAGCCTCACACACAGTGTGCCCTCCTGAGAGCCCTGAGCACAGGCCATGCATGTCACCACAGCTCCCTGCCCAGCATGGCCAGCCTTGGCACCACTGCGGGCAGGATGGTCCCAGGGGACAGACATGGAACAAGCACCGAGAACAGCCGAGAGCTCAGAGGGCAGAGCACCCACTGCACCCACTGCACCCACTGTCCCCAGCCAGCACTCGGTGTCACCGCTGACAGGGCTGGGGCACTGCACCCACTGTCCCCACTGCACCCACTGCACACCCAGCCAGCACTCGGTGTCACCGCTGACAGGGCTGGGGCACTGCACCCACTGTCCCCACTGCACCCACTGCACACCCAGCCAGCACTCGGTGTCACCGCTGACAGGGCTGCCTTACAGCCTAGAAAAACACCCATCCCATGTTTCCTGAACCCACTGGGGGCACAGGGAARAAGAAAGGCAAAGAAAAATAACGGAGAAAGGGTGAAAAAAAACCCAGGTAAGAAAGTGGCACTGCAGAGGAAACGTGAGAAGGCAGGAAAGGCTGGTTTAGGGGGCTGGAGGGGCACCAACTGCTCGGGCCAGGACCAGACTCCAGGCTGGGTTTATGGACGCTGGGCAGCATTAGGTGCCTCGAATGCTTTTGAAAATCTGGCTCAAAGTTTCCGAGATAGCAATATGAAACTAAATAAACGATGARAATAAAGCTCAGAAGTGCTGCCCCACACATCTCAGAGGATCGGAGTGGTGAGGCTGCAGTGCTCCCACAGCACACGGCTCTGCCATGGCCCTTCACAAGCACCAAAGCTGCTCCTGACAGGAACACAGCCCGGCACAGCCCTGGGACAGGGGGACCTGCCCTGCTGCGAGCAAAAACATCCTCGGGACAGAGTCGGGGCAGTGTGACACACGTCCCGCAGCTGTGGGTGCCTTGTTCGGACAGATGCCCCTCTCGTGTCCCGGTAACTCGGGCACTGCCACGGCCAAACCAGGGCCACAGCCCCGCGGAACCCGGGGAACATCGCGGAACCTGCCCGGGAACCCGGCCCGCAGCGCTGCCCGGGAGGTGCGGGGGGCTCGGGGGGCTCTGAGCGAGCAGGGACAGGGCAGTGACCGATGGCGGCTGCGGCCGGGCAGGGTGGGCAGTGTCCAGCCCGGGGCCGGGACGGGCTCGCCGGGCCACGTGCGGGGCTGCGGCCGCTCCGGCCACACCGGCCCCCTCCGCGTGCTCCGGACCGCGACCCCA